ATTTATAGATGAATGTAGTACAAGGTACAAGAAATTACTTGGATGCCCCTGATTAGTGATGGGACACCCAGATGACTTAAATCATTAAACAGGATTAGGCCCATTAACACAGGCCCAGTTACAAGATAAGTTAAACATAAGAATGGGCTAATAAGAACTCCGAACATCACTCTAACATTCTAACACTTACCAATACAATACATGATACCGACACTTTGAACCTTGTGTGCAAGTATATCATAGGGCATAATATGCCGATGTGCAATATTTTAGGTTAAATGGATGCTAACATGTATTTACATATGTACATATGTATGTAATAGTGTAATACCAACTAGGTCTTAGGTCAGATAATAAGAAAAAGAACTTGCCTGATGGTGAATACCAAAATCAAGGGTACCAATAATATGAGCAAATGCTTCACTGTTTAATTGTGGAACCTTTTCAGGATAAACTTCCAACATATGTGATAGCAGCGCAAAATACTGCAAACAGAAATGAACAGTAAGCATCTTCTACCAAAAACAGCAGGAGATTGTTCCATAAATACAGGGAAGAAAGTTTTACATCATGACAAAGTTTAGGGTATTTCAGCATGTCCAATGATATCAGCGGGGTAACTATGTGCAGACCCAAGTAAACGACCTGCAGAAAAGTTGATGTTAGAAAAAATTTCCCTTCGCTTTGTTCAGAAGGTCAAAACATCAATACCTGAGCAATGTCTGTGCTCTCAACCTCATCAGAATCTCTAGAGAAGTCAACCTACATTTTCATCAGTTTGTCAATTTGGTTCTCAGAAGTTTTACCGAAAAAAAGTACAAATATTGGTAACTAAAAGATGAAGTATCATACCAGATCTTTAGAACATAGATTGGTGAGGAGCTGAAGTAAAGCACGCAAGTCCTTGTATTTATCAGTGCTAGCTTCACTCAGCAAACTACTTGAAAGACTCAATGATATCTGACATAGAAAAATGTAAATGTTAGGAGAAAAATCTGAAGCCCCGGAACACAAACTTGACAGATCTACCTCAGCAAAGAGTCAATCAGTAGATATTTAGGCAATACAAGGACACATCCATTGGGCATTGGAGATGTTCTTGAAGAATCTTGAGAAGAAATCCTCAGTTCTGGTTCAATCAATGAATAGAACTCAAACAGAATGAGAAGGTCTCCCTTCTATGTGGTCTTTCATATTCAAATAGTCATTGAGGATGACAGATTAATGGTGATGAGTACATATGTGTGGTAGAGTAAGGGTGGAATAGTTAAATAGAGGTCCTTTGAGGTTTCCACATCTTACTAAGAAGGCTTGTTTCTTTGACAACAGATTGAGCACCTCATTTCACTAGAAATCTAGAATCCAAGGTTTGCTAACTTCATTGTTGGATATCTGGCTTAAATGGGAGCTACATGAAAGCCGCACTCAAAATCTAGAATCCAAGGTTTTCAAATCATTCTGGATCCTAGTTACCAGAACCATAGCAAGTGGATTGAGCAGGACTGCATGAAAGCCGCACTCAAAAAAAGCATACCCTTTCACTCATGACCATCTTCTCCCTCATCTGACAACTTTCAAATATTTCATAAAATAAAATAGTTTGAAAATGAAATGGCATAATTAAACTGTACTATATTAAACAATAATAACAATATACTTTAATTAGAAAATATCTTAATAGTTTAAAATTATTAAACACTCTCATTGGTGCTATGAATTTATAACTTATATATACAAATATACGTTCTCATCCACTAAATCTAATACACTAGAAAACTTGCTCCCGAGAGAGGCTCCTTGGATATCCTAAAATTCTGGTTGGTTCACCATCATAGCAAGGAAGAAGCAAATGGTTGAAAAAAATCAGTTTTAACTTAGGCAGAATAAGATAGGTCTGAACCTTACAAAAGAGACTGCACCTTCCATAAGGAAGATTTCCTGGGATCCAACATCTCACATACGAGAGGATCTTAAAATAAAAAAGGAGAAGAAATAACACGCTTAACCACAAAAGTAGACCCTTTGACATGGCTTTTGTTTGGATCGGGTAAATTAAACCTTCTCCCTTGTGAAGCTGGGAATACTTTTAATAGAGGAAGTATACCATTAATTCTTGATCTTGACCTTTAATAAAGACATGCAACAAGTTGGTTCCACTTATAAGCTGAAGCTCATGAATCACATGGTACACCTATTTCTTGATCCTTTCTTGTTGCAGCAGAATCTGCACAAGTGCCTATCTAACTAACCATTTCTCTCTTATATTGTTTTGAGTCAAATWCTAAGGACCATAGTTGTTAGATGCCTTTTTATTAAGTCACTGCCTAGGAGAAACCCAAGCAAGTACCAGGGCATTCCTCTGTCACACAGCCTCTCCTTGCCATGTTGGTACCATGGTGAAGACATTAGAAAAAGATGACCCTTTACCTTGCCAATGTTATGAGAAGAGTAAAGTTGAAGCAGGCGCATGCAGAAGCTTATAACAACTGCAGTGTCTTTAGCCTCCAGGAAAACAATTTGTCCATCCACCCAATCAACAACAAATTTAAGTAACAGGTAAACAACTGCAGACTAAACATTAGGTTAGGATTGAATTAGAGAAATGAACAATTTAGAATACAAGTATCTGGTAAAAGAATAAATCAATGCCAAATTGCCAATAACACTAGCTCTCCCTGAATGCAAGACTGCCAGCCCTTCTACCATCAGGGGAACCTCAACCTTGGGTTGAGATCATGGATCACAATATCGACAATATTGGTGAAATATCCCCATTTTTCTAGGTGGTGATATGAAAATTTCCAGGAATCTTTTTTATTCCAAATATCTACAATATTTTGCCAATATATCAGTGATCGATATTGGTGATATTTCAGATTTTCTTGATAGACTTTATACTTAAGTTTAAAATTTTAGAACATTATTAAAAAAACTTTTCAATATTTTGTTAAAATCATTATAATTTTTTAAAAGTATTTTCCTAAAAGAACCATAAAGAATTGGTGATATTTCAGATTTCATTGATAGACTTTATATTTAAGGTTTAAAAATTTAGAATATTATTAAAAATTTTGTTAAAATTATTATAATTTTTAAAAATGTTTTCCTAAAAGAACCATGGGGAGTTGGTAATTGGATGATTGGTTTACTATTTTGATATTATCACTTACTAAGCCACTATAATTCAAAAGAAAAAGTAAAATGTAGATAACTACAAAAGAGTATTCTCAAAGTTTCAAACAAAATCAAAACATATAGTAACAATTAGAAATCACTGATTGCAGTTTTAGATAAATTCCTTGTGAAGAGAAAGAAGAAGAAGATGAAGAGTTTCAGTGGTAGAGAAGAAAAGAGGAGAAGAAAAGGAGTAGGATGTCAACCAGAATTGAATTAGTTCTGGCCGCCAGCCCCTCTTTGTATTATATACTCAACTTAAAAGAATAAAAGATTACAAGAATGCCCTTAGTAGGGCAGCTACTTAAGTAGTTGAACAGTTACAACTTAAAAACATAAACTAATGGGCCTAAAGCCCAACAACTTCCTAACTTAACAACTTAAAAATAAGAAATAAATAACTGGGCCCAATAACTAGAAATCGGCCCAACTCAACACTCCCCCTCAAGTTGGGAGTAAATGTCACACATTCCCAACTTGCGTAGATCATGCTCCAGCTTGCTTCTGGCAACACCTTTTGTGAGAACATCAACAAGCTACAGATTAGAAGCAATGTATGGGAGACAAACTTCCCTAGAAGCCACCCTTTCTCTGATGAAGTGTCTATCCACTTCAATGTGCTTTTTCCGGTCATGCTGAACTGGGTTATGGGCAATGTTAATTGCTGCCTGATTATCACAGTACAACATCATAGGTTCTTCTGCCTTTACACCAATCTCTCATAACAAGGAACAAATCTAGAGAAGTTCTAAAACTCCATGTGCCATGGCCCTGTATTCAGCTTCTGCACTTGATCTTGCCACCACTGACCGTTTCTTACTTTTCCACGAGACTAAGTTACCCCCAACAAGGGTAAAGACTCCTGAAGTAGATCTCCTGTCATCAAGGCATCCTACCCAATCAACATCTGTATAAGCCTCTAGCTTCAACTGTCCATGATCAACAAACAATATGCCTCTGCCTGGGTGTCCCTTCAAATAAGCAAGAATCCTATCAGCAGCCTCCTAATGCTGGACTCATGGAGCATGCATGTATCGGCTTACCACACTCACTGCATAGGAGATGTCTGGTCTTGTCATACACAAATATAGCAGTCGCCCCACAAGTCCTGATATCTCCCAATGTCCTTTACCAGCTTACCTTCTAATGCATTAATTCTGTGATTTTGATCAATAGGAGTGCTGATTGCCTTTGTTCCAAGCTTCCCTGTTTCTTGTAGAAGATCCAAAACATACTTCCTATGAGAAATAAAAATTCCATGTTTTGATCTTACAACTTCAATGCCTAAGAAGTATCTCAGTTCTCCAAGATCCTTAATTTCAAATTCTTTATGTAGGTTCCTTTTCAGACCATCAATCTCACTCAAATCATTGCCGGTGACAACAATATCATCCACATAAACAATTAGGACTGACACCAAGGATCCCCTCTACTTCACAAACAAGGTATGGTCAGATTGAGTCTGAGTGTAGCCAAAAGTAACCAARGCCTTCCTGAACCTGTCAAACCATGCTCTGGGTGATTGCTTTAAACCATAAAGTGACTTCTTAAGTCTGCATACCTTTCTCTTTTTAGCATCACTGTAGAAACCAACAAGAAGATCCATATACACTTCCTCTTGCAGATCCCCATTTAGGAAAGCATTCTTCACATCAAATTGAAATAGGGGCCAAGAGTATGTGGCAGCAAAAGAAAGAAGTATCCAAACAGAAGTCATCTTTGCAACTGGCGCAAAGGTCTCCAAGTAAACAATGCCATAGGTCTGTGTGTACCCTTTTGCAACAAGTCTGGCCTTATACCTTTCTATACTTCCATCTGCTTTTGACAGTGTAAACCCATCTGCATCCGACAGTCTCTTTGCCCTCAGGTAGATCCACAATCTCCCATGTTTGATTCTTAATTAAGGCTTCCATCTCTTCCTGCATAGCTGTCTTCCACTCAGGTTTGGAGAGAGCCTCACTAACACCCTTGGGTATAGACACAGGAAAGGAAAGCACGGTAGGAAAGAGAAAGTCCACTGTAGGATAAATACTGTGTAATACAATGAGTAGTACACTTTCTCTTCCCTTTTCTGAGAGCAATAGGAAGGTCCAGGTTATCTGTAATGGAATTAGTAGAATCAATGTGAACTGAAACAGTAGGGATCAAGAGGAATACCTGAATCTGTGTCAGTTGAATCTGGAGTCTCCAAGGAACCGACAGAAAGTGATGTGAGTTCTGCTGCAGTGGAATCAACCTCCCTGTGAAATCTTTGTCGTAACGCTGAGAAGCAAGATGCAAGATAGGTGGTAAGGTAGGTGACATAGGAGGATCAAACACAGGAGTAGACACAGGAACTGGAATTGGAAGAGGGATAGACTGCTCAATCACTTCCCCAAAACATTCCCCCTGAGAAGGATTCTTTGAGAAGAAGGATATAGACTCAAAAAAGGTGACATCCATAGTAACATAACGACTCCCAGAGACTAAATCATAGCAGCAATACCCTTTCTGATTTTCTGCATACCCAAGGAAGACACACTTCTTTGCTTTCGGATCAAGCTTCTAACGATGAGGACCAAGAATATGTGCAAAGCAAACACACCCAAACACTCTGAATGGGGTGCTGAATCCAAGTATACGGGAGGGCACCCTATTAATCAAAAAGACTGCTGTGAGAACTACATCACCCAAAAAATGAACTGGAACTATAGATGTGATCATCATGCTTCTTGCAATCTCAACAATGTGCCTGTTCTTCCTCGCTGCAACACCATTCTGCTGTGGACTGTAGGAACAACTACTCTGATGGACAACACCATATTCTAACAGATACGAAGCAAGATGTTTTTCAAAATATTCCCTTGCATTGTCTGATCTAAACACCTTTATTTGTATCCCAAACTGTGTTAGCACCATCTGATGAAATTGCCTTACCAAGGATGGTACCTCATCTCGGGATCTCATTAAGTAAATCCAAGAATATCGAGAAAGATCATCCACAAATAAGAGAAAATATTGATAACCACCCATAGAAGGAACATGATAAGGTCCCCACACATCAAAATGAATAACATCAAAAGGAGATGGACATCTTTTATTACTAGCTTTAAAGGAATGTCTACAATGTTTTCCAAGTTGACAACCTTTACACTCCAGACTTGACAAATTAACATACTCAAAAAGCTTTGGAAAAAAGAGACTCAAAGAAGAAAAAGACAAATGACCTAAATGATTATGCCAAAGCATAATTTGACTCACTATCCCTACTGACATGATGACCCTGATGAGGAGGAAGTACATCCAGGAGGTAGATTCCATTCACTTCACGACCACTCCCAATTGTCCTCTTTGAATCCAGATCCTACAAAATACAATGACCAGGAGAAAAAATTACTGAACAGTTCAGGTTCTTAGTCAAACTACTAACAGATAACATGTTAGTACTCAATCTGGGAACATGAAGGACAAAGGGAAGGGAAATGGAATCATTAATCTTAACAGACCCCTTCCCAACAAAGAGAACATGAGATCCATCAGCTGTGGAGACTCTGTCTCTGCTAGAACAGAGCTGGTAAGAGGAAAAGATAGTGGAACTATGGGTCATGTGCTCTGAGGCTCTTGAGTCTATAATCCAAGGAAGTCCCTCCTTACCTGTAGTAGAAACATAATTTGCAGTGGCATGTGAACTACCTAAGTGAGCAAAGGAAGTAGGGTGTGCTCCACCAGAACCACCTGTACCTGGCTGTCCACCTGTTACTGAATTAGAACTGACTGTATCCCACTGATTCAGGAACTGCCCTTATCTCTCAAGTTCAGCCATCACTGTAGCAGTTGCAACAGACTCTAGAGTAGCTGTAGTGTAAGGGGCCGGTACGTCACCAGTGACTGCTATGTGAGCATTTTCCTTCTTGTTTTTGAGTCTATTCGGCACCAGAAGAGGATGAAGCTTCCAGCAAGTATCTCTTGTGTGTTTAGTCTTCTTACAATAGTCACAAATCAAATCCTTTTTGTCTTCCTTCTTGATTTCACTGCCACCCTGGTCTCCACTTTGTTTGGGTCTCACAGTGCTAACCATAGCTGATTGATCAAAACCAGAATTTTTCATCATCACATTTCTCCTGCTCTCTTCCCCTGACACAAAGGCATATGCCTGGGAGAGAGTAACACTGTCCCTGGAAAGAATATGTTGTCTTGCAATATCAAACTTGAGATTAAGGCCAACAAGAAATTCAAAAACCCTATACTTCTCTAGGAGCTTCTGGTAGGCAACTACATCCTTAGTGGTTTCCCAAACAACTGTCTCCAGATGGTCAATCTCCTGCCACAGGGTTTTAAGGGCTGAAAAATAACAACAATAGGTTTCTCTCCCTGCCTTGTAGCAATAATCTGATTTGTCAACTGATAAGTCCTAGCAACATTCTCCCTCTGTGAATAGGTTTCTACAACCCCATCCCATATTTCCTTAGCTGTATTTTCCCACAAAAAAATTTTACTTGTATGGGGCAACATCGAATTACACAGCCAAGTTATCACCATATAGTTTTCCTGTACCCACTGGGAGTTGTTAGTTCTAGGTTTCACTTCTTCACCAGTGATATACCCTAACTTCCCACGAGCACCAATGGCCATCTTTGCAGATTGTGACCATTCTAAGTAATTTAAACCATCCAACTTAACTGTAGTAATGGTTCCAGCCCCGAAGAGGTCTCCGACACCTCCTCCCACTGGTCTCATTTCACTCCCGGGCTTGTTTTCAACTCCGTTACCTTCCATAATTATCAAAAAGGGGGTAGAAGGTTACTGTAATATGCAAGAATATCAAATAAATCACTTTTGGTACCAACAACACCCTTCTGGTGCCGTAGATGGTCCTCTCACAAAAGATTCCTTTTCTGCGGGATAGGAGGAGAGAGAAGAGGCAGCCGCTCTCTCCAGAAACCTCCAAAATAGGTAGGACTTGAACCGTCCCCCTCAGAAAACTCCAAGGAACCCTAAAAAATTAGGGCGCCACTTCCTAGGTCAAAATTGAAGGGTCCAATGGAAACAAGACTCTCCCCCTTTCTCTAGTTTCTCCTGATTTTGATGGGAAACCCTAGACCAGCTATAGGGCAAAACAAATCCACTAAAAAATCCAAAAACTGGGCTTACCTGAGATCTTCGATCAACCTCTTAAATCACCATGCAGTTGGCCGATCTAGGGATGCATGATAGAACAACTCAAGGAACCTTCGGCCTGCTCTGATACCAAATTAGAAATCAATGATTGTAGTTTTAGATAAATTGCTTGTGAAGAGAAAGAAAAAGAAGATGAAGAGTTTCAGCAGTAGAGAAGAAAAGAGGAGAAGAAAAAGAGTAGGATGTCAATCAGAATTGAATTAGTTCTGGCCGCCAGCCCCTCTTTGTATTATATACTCAACTTAAAAGAATAAGGGATTACAAAAATGCCCTTAGTAGGATGGCTACTTAAATAGCTGAACAATTACAACTTAAAAACATAAACTAATGGGCCTAAAGCCCAACAACTTCCTAACTTAACAACTTAAAAATTAGAAATAAATAATTGGGCCCAATAACTATAAATCGGCCCAACTCAACAGTAACAAAAAAAAGAAAAAAGTCAAAATGACAAGTAATTGGCATATTTAATAAAGAGAAGATGGCTAAAAGACTAAAAGGGAGACAAAGATAAAGGTATTTATTAAAGTCTCTCAATGTTCTCCTATTTGATTTATATAGTTTTTTTTTATCTTTAAGTGCAATTATATTTCTTCTAATGATTCCTTAAAGGTTTATTAACTAATTCCATGTTTCAAGAAATATTTCCTAATTTTTTAGATTTTCCAAATGTCTTAGTGAAATTAGTGAAATGTCCCCGAGATTTCTCCATCACTACATGGTAAAATGTTCATCGATATCAAAATTGTGAACCATGGTTGAGATGATTCAGGATGAAGGGAAAATGTCATCCTGATGATTAAAAGAAAAACAAATGAAGAGGCAGTCTTAGGATGGCCTTTAGAGTAGATCGATTGAAAAAGATGATGACAAGAATATTGACAAATGCTTATGATACCTCATGTTTGTAAGTTTCAAGAAGAGTCAGAACAGGGTTCATTATGGCAACGCCCATCTGAAATATTGCCTTCTGAGTGCGAGGTTCAGAGGCTCTGGCTGCTCCTCTTAGCCGCTCCAACAAGAAGGTCACCTACAGGAATTTAGCATTACTATAGTCTTGAAGACAGCAAATAAGACTTGGTTTGACAGAATATTTTTATTATAAATCCTTCTGGCCTTACTGAAAGAATTGCATCTGGCTGTTGAGCAACAACTTTGAGGTCATTCTTACTGGATATATCTACTAGGTATGCTGTCATTTGTCCCATGAGATCCCTCACATACCTTGGAAATAAAAACATGATAGTTAGATCACAAAGTAACCAGTTAACCACCCAAAACCTATGTAAAGCATTTACAAATTAAAAAGATAACCCAGAAAATCAATGAAGAATAACTCACTGATTGGATGCCTCTGGATTGCTCATGCCAATAGCTGAGCGAATAAGAGCCTCTGCAAGTGAGCGCTACAAAGAAAAATTAGCATCACAAGAAAGCTTATAGTTAGACGTTTTGAATAACAAGAACAACAAATAACATGAAAAAGGGAGGTCCATTAAGTTTTACTTGATGAATAGCATTTAAAGAGAACAAGTTTCTGTCATTTGCAAAAGCACTTGCTAGATTATGCCATGACTCCTGCAATAGAAATGGATAGAAATTTGGTTAAACAAATATCACTTGGGAGTAACTAAATCTAACCATGGAATCCCACTGTACCACATGCAGCACCATGACCATATTGTGAACTGCAGATAACTAAGGCATGCCATTTTAATTCAAAATATGATACATTGCACCATTATTACCATGGGAGTTGCACACTAACATAATGTCTAAATATGAAATTACATGTTAAATCATGAAAGGAAAATAAAAGTGATTACTATATAAATACAAAAATATTTTGACAGGTGTGAACATATGGGTGTGGCCTCAAGAACATTTGTAATATGTCAATTGTGATATGCCACTTCTCTCCCTTCCATATAACAATAACAGAGGAAAGGGAAGATAATAGTAATATCATGCCTCAAAAGTACCAATCTGTGCAACACAATAGAGGCAAATTGATATAGATGAATACTCTCCAACATTTTAAGGATGGACAAAAATCCAAGCCTCACCAATGTAACAAGGTGAACACAGATATTTCGTCGAACAAGAACTGGAAGCAACTGACAACAAGTGAGAGCCTGCAAAAGGAAAAGGAAACAACATTGATTTTCAAACCAACAACATCATAATCATCCAATTCAAGACAGAGAATGAAGCAAGTTTATCCTTAATTCCATGAACCTTTGCACTCTTTATGTCCTGCCTCTATTAACTAAAAAGAGATAAACTGACTCCTTAAACAAGAATGTAATGGAGACCAACAAAGTGCAGCAACCTTTATCCTGATGAAGAATCAAGGATGATGTGAACTTTTTCATTTGATAGATATCAGAGCTAATTGTGAAAACAGAGAAAGGAGTAAGGGTAGAACATAGGCAACCCATCACTTCCATCTTCAAAATAAATAGATGGTAATTGTTTCCCAATGTTGCACTCTAAGGTCTTATCTTAGTCACACCTAGTTGGTTCACCCTGAAGGAAGTTCACCATATAGGCTTTGAGCAAGGAGGATGCCACATTCTACAACTAAGAATTAAGTTTTGATATGTGTTTGATCTCCCTTCCCACTAAGGTTAATATCTTCAGCTATGATGCCCGGATATGAATACAGATACAGGCATAGATACGGGAAACAGGGAAATGACTATTTCCGAAGTTTCTATATACAGATATTGGTGGAGGTATTCCATATAATATGCTTAAATCATGGCTTTATATCTAGTTTTTGAAGCTAAATGCCATTTCTGAAGACTTACACCTTGCCATATTTAACTAAATTCCTAACATGTGCAGATAGTTTTCTAGTTTAATTTGTTAAAGCATACCACTTTACATATCATATACTGGTATGCTAGGCGTGTACAGGTATCCAGGTATCATAGACCCTCAGTCAGTCTCAACATGCCACAAGAATAGGATATGAGGTATTCTTGTAAAGAACAGAAATTTTACAATTCTTTTAGACAGTAACATGAACAAACCCACAAGAGTGGTAGCTTCTTGGTCCTGTAGGACCATTGTACTAACTGAAAGATGTAAATCAGTCCTCTAATATCAAGTTTAAATTCAGTGATTAGCAGAATAAAACAGATCTGAATAACTGTATAAGAGAAGAAGATGGCGAAGAGAAGAGGTAAGAGAATGAGTCGAATTAATTCTCCATTCTCCTCTAACCCTATTTTATTAAGATCTAAAAAATTAATGATGAC